TGCTCATTTTTTGAAGTGTAATGTAATTTCACCGTAACCACCCCAACCAAACCTAACATAACCTGACCGAGTTGTCGGCCCTCTAATGGATCAGGTTAACCTCGGATCATTCCCTCTATATTTCATTGTGCAAGAACAAATATGAGGAAATTGAAGTACTTTTGCTCTCTTCTTATAGTCAAAGAAGAGAGAGCCTGGATTTAGCCATGTAATTTTTTAAGAATGGATAGGCAATCTTTGTGACATGGTCATTCGTCTTATCTGGGTTGATGCAATCAATATTTCCTCGTTATCATCATCAATGATTTCCTCCCTTAATCCTTCCAGACCCGAATTTAAGTCACGGCATCATACCGTGGTAGATTATCCTAATAATAACGCAACTTTAATACCAAGAGGGAAAAAATCATTAGGAGTTAAGCTGTACAGGAAAGTGTTTCAGGGTCTGAAAGGGTTAACAACAGCTAGAAATTCTTGTGATTGAGACCTTGATGGCATTAGTCATCTTATCCAAACCTGGGCTATCACAGGAAAAAATGAATGCCTTCCAGGGACCTTCTTTCCTCAAAGAGGAGAAGTGGAGAATAAGGACCTGCAAGGTATCCTACTCTTCTCTCAAGGCGACTCTCAGCACATCACCATCCTCCCTGTTGTTCCTCAACGCAGTGAGTCATCGATTTTACTTGACCCAGTGGACAGCCCGGGCAACAAACCAGTACAAAAATCAAGAATATGTAAATCATCTCCATTCCGCGTGGCTTCACTGATCATTACCCAAGTCTTTTCTGGTTTTTTTGATATGACTGCCAAATCGATGTTATCAAATTTCATCGAGGGGAGATTCCTAGTTTCCAGACGAAAAATCCCCGGAAGTTTTCTTTCACACAGTTCATTTTTAGCAACAACTATTGGGACCCTCTTGTTAAAGCAACAAAAAATATATTCGGAAGCCTCCCTACCCATTTTCCTGTGCTGAAAAAATGCTTCTCAAAACTTTCAATTCTTGGAAATACACTCAAAAAGCGGTCTGTTTCATGAAATTAGTGAAAACCTTAGACCAAAGACAAACTTCTCTGCCTCATCAGCCAGTCTGTTTGGACTTCGGAAAAGAAACTCTTAATTGTCAGGCTGTAAACAATCAATGAAAATGATTACTTCCCATGCGATATTTGAGTTTGACGCTCGCCCAAACCAACATTGCAAAACTTATTTCTTAATATGTATCATCTTCATTACACCAAATAACATCTCGTTGTTTGTCACCATCAGCCTGATGTCAGCAACACCAAACAAAGGGAGATTGTTTGCCGTGGATGGGCTTTGCTTTTATCTGGGGTCTTTTAGAAAACAACTAAAAAATTGCTTGCCTAAGGCAAAAATATTATTGGTACCCACTCTCCATGCGAAAAATGGTGACTCAAATGTGCCACTCCCATATCTTACGATGTTCCCTAGATTCAGCATGCAAAAATTATCTTCATTCTTGTCCTTACAGATAACATCTGCGAGAGAGAAATTCCTGATTGTGTGAAATGAAGCGTATTCCTTGAAGTGGAAGTAGCAGTTCCTAAGTAAATCTGAACTTTTGTGTTCAGTGGGTGAATATTTTCCTCATTCTAGTTAAAGTCCCCAAGGGGCCAATATCATTTGGTACCTTCCTGAATTTTACAATATCATCTCCATATTTCCTTTTATTGGCAGGTGCTCAACTTCTTGCCGACCCTATGCTTTCAAGCTTTATTTCCTTATGTTTCCTGCCACACCCCTGCCTATTATCACCTCCATGGCAATTGTCTCATAAAAATACAAAAAATTCCGAAACCGCCTTCTATCCATTCATGGAGGTCCCCTTTTTCATTCATGTCTTCATTGCTCCCTTTCGTCCAACAAACTTCAGAGCTGAGCCTTTCCAGGGAGAGATATTCTTAAGGCAACATCATCTGATTCTGGCTGCCGGTTCTGGTTTTTGGATGGAGAGTCAGACATATGGGACAAAGCTTAATGGTCCTTCCTGTGTTCTACTTGAACAACCCAGTACTTAAAGGAACCCAATGACAACATCTGGGACTTAATTTTTAAAAAGTTTATTTTTGATATCTGATGAAGTCAGTAAAATGATTTTGGTTTAGACGCATTTGGTTTGAGAAGAGTGTGTGCTCCTTTCTGCTCTCATTTCTCGCTCTTTCATCCTTTTTCATTTCTCTTTTAATGCTCCAAGGAAGTGGAGACATTTGGATGGCAGTGGATAAGCTCCCCAAAGTTTACAAAGGGGTGCCACCTTCCTCCAGCGATAGAATCTTTTTCCGAGGAAAGATAAAAGTGACGTGGCAGAGGCACACAATTACCATGTTATGGTCTATGGACAGGCAGCTGGCAGGGTTACCACCAATCAGTCCAGGTAAGAAATGAATCATGGTGTCTCTCTCCTCTTCCTCCCTTTATGCAGTGCCAACATGTCATATGTAGTCAAAACAGGCGGATACAGGGGGGGNATAGAGCCCATCAATTTGTACATTAGTGTCAATGGTCACACCGTGATCCAATGCTGCCTTGATCCACCAGAAGGCGAAGAAATCGGGCAGCATAGTTTGCCGATTTCGACATATAAGTTGCCAATACCTTCAAACTCGAACCCTGGGAATCGAAGATTTCGTACAGATTCATTTATTGTTAATGAAAGTTGGAATTCTGAAGAAATGCTCATTTTTTTAAGTGTAATGTAATTTCACCGTAACCACCCCAACCAAACCTAACATAACCTGACCGAGTTGTCGGCCCTCTAATGGATCAGGTTAACCTCGGATCATTCCCTCTATATTTCATTGTGCAAGAACAAATATGAGGAAATTGAAGTACTTTTGCTCTCTTCTTATAGTCAAAGAAGAGAGAGCCTGGATTTAGCCATGTAATTTTTTAAGAATGGATAGGCAATCTTTGTGACATGGTCATTCGTCTTATCTGGGTTGATGCAATCAATATTTCCTCGTTATCATCATCAATGATTTCCTCCCTTAATCCTTCCAGACCCGAATTTAAGTCACGGCATCATACCGTGGTAGATTATCCTAATAATAACGCAACTTTAATACCAAGAGGGAAAAAATCATTAGGAGTTAAGCTGTACAGGAAAGTGTTTCAGGGTCTGAAAGGGTTAACAACAGCTAGAAATTCTTGTGATTGAGACCTTGATGGCATTAGTCATCTTATCCAAACCTGGGCTATCACAGGAAAAAATGAATGCTTTCCAGGGACCTTCTTTCCTCAAAGAGGAGAAGTGGAGAATAAGGACCTGCAAGGTATCCTACTCTTCTCTCAAGGCGACTCTCAGCACATCACCATCCTCCCTGTTGTTCCTCAACGCAGTGAGTCATCGATTTTACTAGACCCAGTGGACAGCCCGGGCAACAGACCAGTACAAAAATCAAGAATATGTAAATCATCTCCATTCCGCGTGGCTTCATTGATCATTACCCAAGTCTTTTCTGGTTTTTTTGATAGGACTGCCAAATCGATGTTATCAAATTTCATCGAGGGGAGATTCCTAGTTTCCAGACGAAAAATCCCCATGGAAGTTTTCTTTCATACAGTTCATTTTTAGCAACAACTATTGGGACCCTCTTGTTAAAGCAACAAGAAATATATTCGGAAGTCTCCCTACCCATTTTCCTGTGCTGAAAAAATGCTTCTCAAAACTTTCAATTCTTGGAAATACACTCAAAAAGCGGTCTGTTTCATGAAATTAGTGAAAACCTTAGACCAAAGACAAACTTCTCTGCCTCAGCCAGTCTGTTTGGACTTCGGAAAAGAAACTCTTAATTGTCAGGCTGTAAACAATCAATGAAAATGATTACTTCCCATGCGATATTTGAGTTTGACGCTCGCCCAAACCAACATTGCAAAACTTATTTCTTAATATGTATCATCTTCATTACACCAAATAACATCTCGTTGTTTGTCACCATCAGCCTGATGTCAGCAACACCAAAAAAATGGAGATTGTTTGCCGTGGATGGGCTTTGCTTTTATCTGGGGTCTTTTAGAAAACAACTAAAAAATTGCTTGCCTAAGGCAAAAATATTATTGGTACCCACTCTCCATGCGAAAAAAGGTGACTCAAATGTGCCACTCCCATATCTTATGATGTTCCCTAGATTCAGCATGCAAAAATTATCTTCATTCTTGTCCTTACAGATAACATCTGCGAGAGAGAAATTCCTGAAAGATTGTGTGAAATGAAGCGTATTCCTTGAAGTGGAAGTAGCAGTTCCTAAGTAAATCTGAACTTTTGTGTTCACTGGGTGAATATTTTCCTCCTTCTAGTTAAAGTCCCCAAGGGGCCAATATCATTTGGTACCTTCCTGAATTTTACAATATCATCTCCATATTTCCTTTTATTGGCAGGTGCTCAACTTCTTGCCGCCCCTATGCTTTCAAGCTTTATTTCCTTGTTTCCTGCCACACCCCTGCCTATTATCACCTCCATGGCAATTGTCTCATAAAAAGACAAAAAATTCCGAAACCGCCTTCTATCCATTCATGGAGGTCCCCTTTTTCATTCATGTCTTCATTGCTCCCTTTCGTCCAACAAACTTCAGAGCTGAGCCTTTCCAGGGAGAGATATTCTTAAGGCAACATCATCTGATTCTGGCTGCCGGTTCTGGTTTTTGGAAGGAGAGTCAGACATATGGGACAAAGCTTAATGGTCCTTCCTGTGTTCTACTTGAACAACCCAGTACTTAAAGGAACCCAATGACAACATCTGGGACTTAATTTTTAAAAAGTTTACTTTTGATATCTGATGAAGTCAGTAAAATGATTTT